CGGACACGGAGCCCCCGCGGCGCCGCCGCACGCCGGGAGACAGGTGGGACGGGGATGGACCCCCGGGGCCGCTCCCGTAATCCGCAGTGACCCCAGGCATCCCAGTGCTCCCCCCGGAATCCCCGGGGGTGCCCTCGGTAACCCCTGGGACTGTCCCCATTATCCCTCCAGTGCCCCCAGTAATGTCCCTGGAGCTGACTGGGGACCCGTGCCACCCCCGGGGGTGTCCTAGTGTCCCCGGTGACCAGGTGTGTCCCCACAGCCACCCCCGAACCTGCATGAAGTGTGGGAAGAGCACAGCAGTCCTCGTCATCCGTGTTGGGGATCCCTTCTGCCGGTGAGGGATGGGGGGACAGTGGGATGGGGACATTGGGTGTTGGGACGTTGGGTTTTGAGGATATTGAGGCTTGGGACATTGGAGTTTGCGGACACTGGGAATTGGGACATTGGAGATTGGGGATATTGAGTGGGACATTGGGTCTCAGGGACATTGGAGCCGGAGGATATTGGATCTCTGGGACATCAAGCCTTGGAGATGTTGGGTGTCTGGGATATTGGGTCTTGGGGACATTGAGTTTTGGGGATATTTGGTCTCTGAGAAATCAGAGTTTGGGGCAGTTGGGTCTTGGGGACATTGAGCCTCAGAGGCATAGGGGCTTGGGGACATTGGGTGTCTGGGACATGAGGGTTTTGGGCTGTTTGGTCTTGAAGACATTGTGTCTCTGGGACATCAAAGCTAGGGGACATTGGGTCTTGGGGACATTAAAGCTAGTGGACATGGGGTCTTAGGAAGATGGTCTTGGGGATATTGCACCTTATGAACTTTTGTCTGGTGGTCATTGGGTCTCTGGGAAGTGTAGGCTTGGGGACACCGGTGTCTGGGACATTGGTCTTGGGGACATCAAGGCTGGGGGACAGGGGGCTCAAGGACTTTGGGGCTCAGGGCCATGAGGTCAGCAGAACAGGCTGTGGCTCAGGACCATGTCTCTGTGTCTCTGTGTCCCTATGTCCTGGCAGCGGCTGCTTCCGTGACTACTTTGTGCACAAGTTCCGCGCAATGCTGGGCAAGAACCGTGTCATCTTTCCAGGAGAGAAGGTGCTGGTGGGGACAGGGACACAAATTGAGACCTGGTGGTGGCACCAGGGCCCTGACTGTCCCTGCTGTCCCCACAGGTGCTGCTGGCACTGTCAGGGGGCTCAGCCTCCAGTGCCATGGTCTGGCAGGTGCAGGAGGTGAGAGTGGGGCTGAGGGAGGTTCAGGGAGGGTTTAGAGGGGCACAGCTCACCCACCCCTCACCCCATACTTCCTCAGGGGCTCAGCCGGGAGACAGCCAAGAGGCTCCGCTTCATCCCTGGTCTTGTCTATGTTGAGGGTAAGGATGAGCCCTGCTGCCTGCTCCATGTCCAACTGCCATTCCCAGACCATTCCCTGCCCTGCTGCCTACTCCATGTCCAACTGCCATTCCCAACCCCATTCCTTGCCCTTTCCTGGCCCCACTGCCTGCTGCGTGTCTGACTGGCATTCCCAGCCCCATCCTAGCCCTGCTACCTGTTCACTCCGTGAACACCATTCCTAGTGTAGCTGTCCCTTCCCTGCCCAATTGCCTGCTCCCTGCCCCATTCCCTGCCTAACTGCCCATTCCTCACCCTCTTCCCTGCCCCATTCCCAGCCCCACTGCCCATTCCCTGACCTGATGCCCATTCCCTCCCACATTCCCAGCCCCACAGCCTGTTCCCAGACCCGCTGCCCGCTCCCAGCCTAATGTCCCCCTGCACCAGGCCAGGCCAGGCTGTGTCCCCCCAGGTGCCCTCCTGGCCCTGGAGACAGGGTGAGTGCCCCCTCCTCACCACGGCAGTGACCCTGTCTCTGCCCACTTGTCTTGCAGAGGGAGCTGTGCGCCGGCAGAGCCCGGAGCAGCGAGAGCAGACCCTCGCCCAAATGAAGACCCTGCTGCAGGCCACTGGCTTCCCCTACCACATAGTCCACCTGGAGGAGGTATTGGGGTGACATGGGGACAGGTGCTGAGGTGGGGACACACACCTGGACACCCCAACTTCCCCCATACCCATCTCTGCCCCACAGGCGCTGGAGCTACCCCCATCCATCTTACAGCCGGGGCCAGAGCGCTCCGGTGCGTCCAGCACATCCGGCTCTTCCTACAAGGAGGCTGTGGACAGCTTCATCCAGCAGCAGAGGCAGGAAGGGGGCAGGGACAGTGCCACCTCTAGCCACAGCACCCAGGACATACCAGCAGGACCCTCAGCCACCTCCCACCTGCCTGACCCTGCCCAGACCCAGGAGCTGCTCCGAGTCTTCGAGGCTGTGGAGACAACAACAGCACGGGAGGAGCTGCTGCAGATGCTGCGGTGAGGGACTGATCCTGCCTGGCTCCAGCACTAGCACCATGTGGTGGCTCTGAACTGTGTCACCTTGTCCCTAGGACCCACCTGATCCTGCAGACAGCCCGGAGCAGGGGCTATCCCAAGGTGATGATGGGTGAGACCTGCACACGCGTGGCCATCAAGCTCCTCACTAACCTGTCGCTGGGTCGTGGTGCCTTCCTCGCTGTTGACACGGTGAGCAGCCCAAGCAGGGGACACATCTGCACCCCAGAGGGTGACATGATGCCATGGAGGAACTGTAGCTTGGTGTCAGCACAGTCCCTTAGCAGCCACACACCCCCAGGGCTTTGTGGACAACCGCCATGGCGACGTGATGGTGGTGCGACCCATGCGGGACTACACTTCCAAGGAGATTGCTTTCTACAACCACTTCTTTGGTGTCCCCACTGTCATTGTGCCACCTCTCTTCACCAAGGTAGGGGTGTCCTATGCGGGATCCCAAGCTCTGTGTTCCTGCAGTGGGGACAGGACCCTCCAATCCTGCCCTGCTCTCTGTGCTTGCTCCCACAGCGCCGGGAGAAGCCAAGCATCCACCACCTGGTCCAGGACTTCCTCCTGGGACTGCAGGAAGATTTCCCCTCCACCATCAGCACTGTTTACCGGTATGGGTACACCCCTGTGGGGGTGCTGGGGTGTGTGAGGGGGATTGGGGTGCACCCACTGCCCCTATGTTCGCTGCAGGACAGGGGAGAAGCTGAGCCCAGAGCCAGCCAAGGCCAGCAGTGAAGAGCAGCGCTGCCTCCTCTGCCTGTGCGGCCTGGATATTGAAGGGGGTGAGTGGAGTGGGCAGTGGAGAGGCTTGGGGGATTTGGGGAGCAGCCATGCACCTCCCGATCGCCCGTCTGGCTGGCTCTTGCAGAGGAGGTGTTGGCCCTGGAGCCTACGCTGATCGTGGAGGAGCCGATGAGGAATGGGTGCTGCCAGGACACCCCAACAACAGGGTGAGCATGCAGGCTCAGGGTGGAGGTCCCACCCTCCCCACACCACCACCACCGAGTGTCCCTGTCCTTGTCCCTATCTCCACAGGGCTGAGAGCAAAGCTGCCTACATCCCCCTGCTGTGCTACAGCTGCCGCCTCACCTTCAAGGAGCTGGTAATGCTTTTGGGGTGCAGGGGGGTGTCTCTCTGCGGGGATGGGGGTTTCCCTCTGCCTCACACCCCTCTCTTGCAGGGGCCCCTGGCCACACTGCCACCCTACATGCGTGCCGAGGCCCAGCGCAGGCTGCAGAGGTAACGAGGGCGGAGGGTCCTGCCCCACCAGCTCAGCCCCTTGATGCTGTGTCCAGCCATCCAGTGTGTCTCCATTCCTTGCAGAGCAGAGATGGAGCAGGAGCCCAGCAAGAGTTGAAGGGGTGGGGGGCAGTGAGGGACACTGCCCCCCACCGCCCTGTGGCAGGGTGCCATCCCTCAGGGATATTCCAAAGGACCTCTGGCCCCCAGACAGCTGCTTTTTTACCCCATTTTTGCTACAGCCAGGGCCAGGGAGAGCCCCCAGGCCCTGCTTGGTGAGGGCCAGGGGTGCTGGTACCATCCCCCTCCCTGCCCCAATCTGTGAGCCAGAGAGGCCTCAAGTTTGTT